ATCAACAAGTAACTATAATAATATGAAAAATATTAGTTGGTCTAACTCTCAGAGGAGTAGTAGTGAAAGAATGAAAATTAAAGGCATGGGTGCATGCGTGGAAGAGAGCTGAGGTGGGGTGGCAGGTGGGCACAGTGACCAGCCTGGCTTGAGCTATTTGAGAGAAGATGCAAGACCCCCAACACAGACAGTCAGTGTAATGACATCTTACGCAAAAAGGGCATCTTGCCCTCGAAGGAAAGTTTGAACCAACTGGAAAAAGAGGTGGAAGAGGAGGAGCATTGAGTCCTTCATCAGTCAGTTGTGAAAATATATAAAGATATTACTTTGGAAGAACTGGAGGATAATGAAGACAAATTTAATGAGGAAGACCCATGAACTATTGAAATGTACAGGCAACAGAGACTGGCTGAGTGGAAAGCAACTAAAGTGAAGAAGAAATTTGGAGAAGTTTTGGAGATCTCAGGAAGGGATTATGTTCTGGAAGTTGTCAAAGCTGGAGAGGGCCTGTGGGTGATCTTGCGCCTTTACAAACAAGGGGTTGATTCCATTCCCTCTGTGCCCTGATAAATCAACACTTCAGTGGACTTGCCAGGAAGTTTCCTGATATCAAATTTATCAAAGCCATTTCAACAACCTGCATACCCAATTATCCTGATAGAAATTTGCCCACAATATTTGTTTACCTGGAAGGTGCTATCAAGACTCAATTTATTGGACCTTTAGTATTTGGTGGCATGAACCTGACAATAGATGAGTTGGAATGGAAATTATCTGAGTCTGGAGCAATCAAGACAGACCTGGAGCCCAGCCAGTGTGGTTCAGTGGATTAAGCATCGTCCCATGGACTGAGAGGCCCGGGTTCGATTCCCAGTCAGGGCACGTGCCTGGATTTCGGGCTTAATCGCTGGTAGGGGTGTGCAGGAGGCAGCCGATCTATATATCTCACATGGATGTTTCTATCTCTCTCTCCCATTCTCTCTCTCTCTAAAAAAAAAATCAATAAAAACATATTTAAAAAAAAAAAGAAGAAGAAGAAAAAAAGACAGACCTGGAGGAAAATCCTAAAAAAAACAACTGAAGCCCTGGCTGGTTTTGTTCAGTGGTTAGAGCCCACAGACCGGAGAGTTCTGGGTTCAGTTCCCGCTAAGGGCATGTACCTCCATTACAGTTTGTCCCTGGCCCTGGATGGGGTCATGTGGGTGGCAACCACTCAATGTGTCTCTCTCATGTTGATGTTTCTCTATCTCTTCCTCCTTCTCTCCCTATCTGAAGATAAATGCAAAAATGTCCTCGGGTGAGGATAACAACAACAATAACAACAACAACAAAAAACCACTGAAGATGCATTGCTATCCTCTGTGCAGTACACTGTCCCCTTGAGGAAAGGCAGCAATTTAGAGGATGACTAAGACTATGTAATGTTCAGAATTTGATTGATGTTCAGAATTTGATTGATGCCACAAATTGCTTGGATTTATTTAAAAAGGAAAAGTAGGGATGAATCCTTTGAATTTTAGCCTTTTATAGTCATGTTTCAAATCTCATAGATCTCAGAAATAATCATTGCCACAAATCCTATTACATTTCTTGGAACTCTCTTTTTTTGGAATGGTTTTTATTTTTTTTGTTTTTTAAAATTTTTTATTTGTTTTTCTCTTTGCTCTTCTTTAATTTGAAATATTTCCTTAAAAGAAAATAAAAACCAGCTTTTGGTATGGCTAAAGCAAAAATTAAAGAAATGAAGTTAGGAATACTAACTTGGAGGAACGGAGGGATTTTCATGGGAGTATGGTTGTAGTATAGAGTATCAAGCAGACTGCTTTGTAGAAATTAATAGCTGATTCTACACTTTATATGAAAATGCACAGGACTTAGAAGGACCAAGATAATCTTGAAGAACAAATCTGGAGGATTTACTCTGATTTCATGACTAACTAATTAAGCAAGTAATTAAGACAGATGGACTTGGTGTAAGGATAGTTAAGTAGCTCAATGGAAAAGAATGGAGGATTGACCCAGTCTTCACGGAGAGTCACTGTGGTTTCCTGCTTCAACAGTGCTTGGACAGAACTGGGTGCTTGACCCATCTCAGCCAGCCACCAGGAACCAGACTTTCATCACCTCCTCACAGTGCCTTGGACATCCCTAAGGCCTGTGCTCCAGCACTGTGCTGCTGCTTCTCTTTAGCTGCCGACCATGACGTCCACCATGTCCACCTGGCAGGTGCGCCAGAACTATCACCAGGACTCAGAGGCCGCCATCAACCTCCAGATCAACCTGGAGCTCTACGCTTCCTACCTTTACCTGTCCATGTCTTACTACTTTGACTGCGATGATGTAGCTTTGAAGAACTTTACCAAATATTTTCTTCACCTATCTCATGAAGAGGGGGAACATGCTGAGAAACTGATGAAGCTGCAGAACCAATAAGGTGGCCAAATCTTCCTCCAGGATATCAAGAAACCAGACCTGATGACTGGGAGAATGGGCTGAATGTGATGGAGTATGCATTACAAGGAAAAAAGTGTGAACCAGTCACTACTGGATTTGCACAAACTGGTCACTGACAAAAATGACTCTCACTTGTGTGACTTCATTGAGACTCACTACTTGAATGAGCAGGTAAAATCCATCAAAGAACTGGGTGACCACATAACCAACTTGTGCAGATTGGGGGCTCATGAAACTGGCATGGCAGAGTATCTCTTTGACAAGCACACCCTGGGAGACAGTGATGAGAGCTAAGCCTTAGGCTGGCTTCCCATAGCCACAGGGGTGACTTCCCTGGTCACCAAAGCAGTACGTGCATGTTGGAGTTACCTTTACCTTTTCTGTAACTTGTACCAAATCATCCACTTATATCTTTTCATTTGTACCATTCCTTCAAATAAAGCAATTTGGTATCCCCCCAAAAAATAGAGGGTTGAGATTTAGATAATTGGATATTTATATTTAAAGAAAAACAAAAAAAAAAACTGGTCTCTACCCTACACCATATGCAAAAATTATTTTGTCTTTCTTTTTTGGGGGGTGGGGATACGTGCCCCTAGTGGGAACCAAACCTGAGACTCTCTGGTCCGCAGGCCAATGGTCCAACTGCTGAGCCAAACCAGCCAGGGTGCAAAAATTATTTTGAAATGGACCATAGACTTAAGTATGAAAGCTAAAACTATAAAGCTTCTAGAAGAAAAGATAGGAGAAAAATCTTCATGCCATTTGGGGTAGGCAAAGACTTTTTTTTTTTAATGACAAAAAACACCATAAAATAAAAATATTCATAAGTTGAACATCATCAGAATAAAAAATGTCCACTTGTCTAAATATATTAAGGTGAAAGGGAAACCACAACTGGGAGAAGATAGTATAAATTCACATATCTGGCAAATAACTCCTATCCAGACATAAAGAACTCTATACATCAAACAACTCAATTTATAAAATGGACTAACTCTCAGAGGAGTGTCTGTGAACAGGCACTTCACAGAAGAAGATATTCAAATGGTCAATCCGCACAAGAAAAGGTGCACAACATCACCACACACCAGGACATGCAAAATAATATCACACGGAGATACCAGTGCTTACCCACCATAAAGGCTAAATTAAAAAAGACTGACAATATGAAGTGTTGTAAGGGTATGAAGCAACTACGGCTCTCATACATGGCTGGTGGAGTATAAAATGGTACAATCACTTTAGCAAAAACTGGAAGTACAGACTATTCAGAAATTTTTTAGAGAACACCATATATAACCATAGTAGATACAGCTAAAGCTATACTTAGAGGAATACTTAGAGTCATTAATACATTTATTACAAAAAAAACCCCACTAAAAATAAATGAACTATAGCCCTGGCCAGTTTGGCTCAGCGGTTAGAGCATCGGTCTGCAGTTCAGAGAGACCTGGGTTTGGTTCCCTCTAAGGGCATGTATCTCGGTTGCAGTTTGTCCCCCGCCCTGGATGGTCATGCAGGTGGCAGCCACTCCATGTGTCCCTTTCACGCAATATTTCTCTCTCTCTCTTCCTCTCTCTCCCTCCCACTCTATCTGAACAACAACAACAAAAATGGAAAAATGTCCTCGGGTGAGGATAAAAAAAAAAAAGAACTACGTATTTAATTTGGTAAACTATTAAACTAATAAGATAAAAACAGAAATCAGGAAGAACGTTGAAATTAAAGAATTAGAAAACAAAAAGATAGGGGAATGAGTTGGAGAAAATGTTATTTCTTTGACGATATCAATAAGATAGAACTAATAGGTTTGGAAAATACATGGGTTTCATCAGTGGTTCCTGTGATTTTTTTTTTTTTGACTTTGGTGTGGTGTTCAGCAAAACCATAATGATGTTATTTTATGAGGGCTTCATTGATTACTTAAAAAAACCTGTTGACTATCGATATAACTGAGTTTTTTTGAATAAATCATAACACACACAGAGTTTTATAAAGTTGGAAAGACGAAGTTTAGGAAGTGTGGTTTCGGCCACCCTTTGTCCAGCAGGTAGCGGGTGCAAGGCCATTTATATACACTGTCTCATTTCAGGCGCACACTGGCTCCCGAAAGGTCTTTTTGGAGATGAAGTTAACTCAGGCTGGGATGTGGCTGTGAATTCAGGGCTGACCCGAGACCACATAGGTAAAGAAGGTAAGTCCTCTGGGTTCAGACGGGACGGAGGCCCTTCTGCCGGTGCAAACCGGCTTTGGGTGTTGGGAGCCCAGGCCCGAAACGCAGTCCCGTCAGGTCTGCAGGTTGCAGCTGGCAGGTGCAGGCCTGGCGGCAGGCGGCCGGGCGAGCCGACACTCCTTTAGTACGCAGCCCCCGGCGGCCAGGTGCGGCAGGCCGAGGCCGGGGCCGGGGCCGGGGCCGGGGCCCAGGCCGGGGCGGGCGGGTGCAGCGCCCCCTGGGCGTGCAGGTTGTTTCGCTTTAGGGACGCGCGCGCGCGGGGCTGCGGGGACGCGCGGGCGGCGAGGCCTGCGCGCCAGTCTGCGGGAGCCATGCGGCAGACAAGGAGCAACGCGTCCTCCGGGCCACGCGGGCAGAAGCGGCCTGGGGTCTCAAGGACTCCTGGCGCCGCTGCCTCGGTTCCCGGCGACACCCGCGCACGGCGCCCCACGGGCCAACCCGGGGACAGGAGCCGGTCGGGGAAGCAGCGGCCGAGGCAGTCGTCGCCGCGGGCCCAGGAGGCGATTCCCGGGGAGCCGCTGCAGCCGGAGCTGGCGCTGCTGTCGCCGTCCCCCGTTCCGGTGACTCAGACGTCCGCGGTGGCCACGTTGGACCTGGGCGACCAGCGGGAGCGCTGGGAGTCGTTCCAGAAGCGGCAGAAGCTCACCTTCGAGGGTGCCGCTAAGCTCCTGCTGGACACCTTGTGAGTGCTGCCGGGCCAGGCGAGCGGGGCGGGCCACGCCGACCGCTGGGCAGGGAATCGGGCTCGCCCGCCAGCCGTGCCCGCCTGCCTGCGAGTTGGGGCAGATTTTCGGTTCTGTGTCTTACCGGTAATGTGACCACCGCGCCTTCCCCGGGGGCACCAGGCTCGTTCCTAATTCTCACGGCCTCGCCTCTTGCCTTAAGGGATGTGCGGCCTGGACTGGAGGCGGGGGCGTGTGGGGGGTTCACCCCGGGAAGGTTGCGGGCGCCGCCTCGGATCGCGTGGAGGGACGCACGGCGTCAGGGGCCACGAAGGGTCTTTCCCGGACCAGCTACCGCGTCGGGGACACAGGCTCTTGTCTCGGCGGGGAGGGTGCCGGGTCCTTTTCCAGTGACAAAAAGATAAATCCCACGACTTTACTCAGACCCGAGTCGCTTTATATAGTTCCGTAGGTGTTTTTGGAGAGAGGATGGGAGGATAAGAAACGCTAATAAAGTTTTGAACTAAGTGGAATGCGAAATACCGTTTTTGTTCCAGGCGCTCGTTGTGAGGAAGGGAGCGGGATGGGGGAGGGGGTTCTGCATCCCAGAGAAGAGCGCGCCCCAATGGTTCGGGCACTCGGGAGCCAGGCACCGGCGCCTAAGCCCGGGAGTCTTTGTGTTCTCCCCTGATGCTCCTGGGCGGCGCGCTCGCCACTGCGCGCCCCACAGCTTCGAGGCTGCAAGAAAAACACCCCAGCTCCGTAGATGGCCAGAGGAGGATTTAGAGCGTCCGTGAGGTTGGGAATGGACTGTTAATGTTATCTCTGGCAAGGTCCCACTTGTTTTCTCCAAATGTAATAGCGTCTAGCTCCTTACTCTGTAGAACTGTTGTACTACTACAGAGAAATATTTTAGCACCCTAGTAATATCTCTCAGTATTGATTATCTTATGAATTAAAAAGAACAGTCAAAATCCTAGAGAAAGACAATTGCCTAACAACCTGATTACTCCCCAAATAAAAATGTTTCTTGTCTTTGTTCCAGAAGAAATTTGTTTAGCGACAACGAATCTTCTCAGAGACTATTTGGTTTTCAGTGTGCTTCACTTTTTGTCATTTTGGATTATACCCTGAATATTTTTTACTTATAAGATACCAAAACTCATCATATTAACTTACATGCAAAAGGAATGCACTGTGTTTGTTAACATGTATAAAAAAAGTCTAAAGGAATATACAGAAAATAGTTACCTGGATTCCTGTGGGTATTAGGATTATAGGAGATGTTCATTTTATTGTTATAAAATGCTGTAATGTTTGAATATTTTACAGTGGGCATTAATTGTATATGCAGAAAAAATTTAAATACATCAAATTAACTGATTCAACTTATAACGAAACATGATACAGCATTCATTCTTTAACGTTTTAAAAAAATTATAGTTGAGCCCTGGCTGGTTTGGCTCAGTGGTGAGAGTGTCGGCTTGTGGACCAATGAGTTGTAGGTTCGATTTCAGTCAAGGGCATGTACCTCAGTTGGGGTTGGCCCTGGGTGGGGTTGTACAGGAGGCAGCCAGTGGTTGTGTTCCTCTCACGTCGATGTTTCTCTCTCTCACCCTCTCTCTCCCTCCTTCCCACTCTATCTGAAGATAAGTAGAAAAATATCCTTGAGTGAGGATTAAAATAAAGTTATAATTGACATACAGTATTATTAGTTTCAAGTGTACAACATAGTGATTCGATATTTATATACCTTATGATGTGATCACCACAAGTCTAGTAACTCTGTCACCATACAGTTACTGTGTTGTTATTGACTATTCCCTGCACTGTACCATAATAAATTCCTGTGACTTATTTTATAACTGGTAATTTGTATCTCTTATTCTCCTTCACCTTTTTGACCCATTCTCCCATTCAGTCCTAATTACCAAATAAATGCAGATTAAAACTGCAAGCTAATTTTCCTATAATTATTGCTTGAGAAGGTACAGTGACATATTTTCTCATTTATTATGGATAAGAGTATCTATCATTTAATGATATTTATCAAATCTTAATCGTGTTCAGTTAAGGGCCTAGCTTGTATATAATGAGTTCTGAAAGGTTTAATATTGTATGTAATATGTACATATAGCTCTGTAAAAAGCTATGCATATGAAAATACTGGAGGGGAATATAGCAAAATTATAAGAGCTATTGTTTTTCAGAAGGCTTTTTTTCTGAACCCTCATACTCAGTTGAGTCCCCTTGTCTTTTCCATAGTAGCCTATACTGCCTTTATCACAATCATTTCAATATTATCTGGGTAATTTGTTTGGTGGGTACTTAAGGTCAGTAAGGCCCGGAACCATGTCTGCTGTGTCTTATTTACTGCTCTCTTTCCAGTGCAGTGCACTTGGTTCATAAAAATTTTTAGGAAATATTTGACATATAAATAAAAATGAGTGGTGAGATTAGAATTTCCACCCTTAATTTTACCCCACCTTGTCCCAATTTTTTGGAATGCTTTCTTTAGCAATTTAACATGCAAGAAATGGGAAATTGAGAGCTCATGGGCAAAGAAGGCGCTCAGTATCTCCTCAAAAGCAGAGGCAACTGGTTGTTGTGGAGAGAAGAGTTTTGTTCATCTTGCTTCTTTCTTTCAACAAGGGAAGAGAGAGAGAGAGCATGAGCCATGCAATAGCATCCCGCTTAAGTATTCAGAAATCCTTATCATTCTGATTTTCTGCTTTATGTAGTGAATACCAGGGCCTGGTGAAACACACAGGAGGCTGCCACTGTGGAGCAGTGCGCTTTGAAGTTTGGGCCTCGGCAGACTTACACATCTTTGACTGCAAGTGAGTGTTTTCTCTTCCCAAGTTGGTTTAAAAGGACTTACAAGTTAAAACACAGGGCTTCAACATCAACTGGGGAGTGAAGGTATAGATGAAACAACATATAGCTGATAATTGTTGGAGTCAGGTAATGGGTATATAAGGGTTCATTGTTCTGTTCTTTCTCCTGTTGTATATACTAGAAGTCTTTTTGTTATTTATTTAAAGCTTTTTTTTATTCCTCATCTGAAGATATTTTTATTGAGTTTTAGAGAGAGAGGAAGGGGGAGAGAGAGAGAGAGAAACATCTATTGGCTGCCTTCTGTACACACCCCGACCAGGGATCAAACCTGCAACCCAGGTATGTGCCCTGACCAGGAATTGAACCCATGACCTTTTGGTGTACAGGACAGTGCTCCAACCAACTGAGCCACACCAGCCAGAGCTAGAAGTTTTTAGTAATGAAAATTTTGTAAGCCCTGGCGAGGTAGTTCAGTTGGTTAGAGCATTGTCCCGATACACCAAGGGTTTGGGTTTGATTCCCAGTCAGGGCATGTACAAGAATCAGCCAATGAATGCATAAACAAGTGGAATAACAACACTCTCCCCCCTTCTTCCTTTCCTCCCTCCCTGTCTCTCAAAAATCAATAAATAAAATGTAAAAAATTAAGCTTTTTTAAAAAGGGAGGCTAAAAACAATCGAGTCTGCTCTGTATGTTAGTGTGAGTGAGAGAGAGACAGAGAGACAGATATCACTCCTACAGCACAACCCCAGGCAACACAGAGCAGGGTCCTCTGGCTTGTGTCTGGCAGGGTCACCACTCAGACTGGTGGGTGTGGGATTGGTTTGCTGAATGCAGGTCAGAATGGGAACTGAAGGGAATGTCTTGGGCAGAGCCTTCAGAGTTGGGGAGAGGTGGAGGGTAAATGAGTGGAGGGCATCCGCACCTGGAAGCTCACTATGCTTCAGGCCCTCTAGCTCTTTCTTTCAGATGAGGCAGATGGTACTGCCAGGATCTGTGGAGGGCCTGTATTTTTAGCACCTTCTCTGGCTTTGTGACAGAGCAAGGACTATAGGCTCTGACTGCTGGACCTTTTGCCCTTAGGTGGTACCTGAATTATATATGAAAAAAATATCTTGGGATTACTCATACAGGGAATTGATCAGGCTACTAACAGTAGAGTCCAGATTGGAGAAGTACCATGGATTCTATACTAGAGGATTAGAGGATCCAGAGAGAGGATTCTATACTAAATTAGATTTTTTAAAAAAGTGGACTAAAAAGAGGGGGCTTAGATTTACCTCCAAAGATGGTAGTTCTGAGGACCTATTTTACTTGGAGCTAGGCTTGTGATGTGCAGATGAGGAAAGAGGGAAACATAACCTTTCTGGTCCATATTTTGGTGTGGATATCCCAGAGATGTAAGTTTGTAACTATGCCTGATATAAGTGTCTCTAGAATGCAATGGTTCCCTTGAATGCAATGAACTGGGGGAAAGGGTAGCAGAAATGTTCTCTTAGTTCCGGTTTTCAAAGGGATACATGGTCTCCACTGCTGTGGGATCTGTGGGCAGAGAGAGACCCCAGGTGGCTAGTCCATCTGCCTGAGCTTCCCCCTTCCCTGGGTAGTGCTGAAAGGGGCTTCACTTCTGGGGTCAGCCAACTCTCAAATCATATCAGGTTGGGTGCCTTGGGCACTCGGAGGGTGCAGATGGCTGTTCACAATCTGGAACTTGCTTTGTCTTTCTGTAGCTGCAGTGTTTGCAAGAAGAAGCAGAATAGACACTTCATTGTTCCTGCTTCTCGCTTCAAGCTCCTGAAGGTTAGTGCTAAGAGCAGGGTTGAAGATGCAGAACCCATTTGTGAGTCGCTGCCTGACAGCATGCCCTGGACAGTGCAAGGGGACGCCCAACAGGCTTCTCTGGGACTGTACTTTCCCTGCCACCCAGGTTTCATCCTTGGTTTTAAAAGCTTATGCTGTTTTTTCCTTTATATATTGGATACTTATTTGATATTGCTGAGGAAACATTTTTCAACAAATAAGATACCCAAACCCTATCAGCCAAAGGTAACCGCTGTTAATATTTTGGTGTATATAGCCTTGTGCATTATTTTCTGCACAGATAAATACATCTAAATATATATTATGTGTTTTGTCAAAGTAGGATTTTACCTTTCTTTCTGTTTTATAACTAACTTTAGCATTTCCCAATGAAAAATATATGATATAAAAATTTTAAACATTATTACTGGGGGATATTTTGTTATTAGTGCAAAATTTGAAAGGTACAGAAGTACACATATACAGTGAAACTCTCTTCCTCACCCACACCATTTCCTACTTCACTTATCCTGTTGTTCCTGTATTTGCAGTATATTTTATTATATGAATCTATCATAAGCAATTTTTTTCTCTTCCCCTTTAATCTTCATCTGATGATATGTTTATTGATTTTTTTAGGGGGAGAGAGAGAGAGAGAGAGATGTAAGAGAGAAACATGAATCCATTGCCTCCCATACTTGTCCCAGCCAAGCAGTGAACCCACAATCTAGGTATTTGCCCTGCTGGGAATCAAACCCTCAACCTTTCAGTGTCCAGCATGACAACCAACTGAGCCACACTGGCCAGGGCAGCAATTTTCTATATTTGAACCTTGAGGTTGAGTGCAATTTTTTCCCAATTATAAACAATACTGTGGTGAACCTCCCTGAGTATTAATCTTTGATGATTTAGAAATTACATCTTTAGGATCAGTCTCTTAGAAATAAAACCTGTGGTTAAACAATAGAAACTTTTTTTTTTTTTTTTACTTTTATTTGTGTTTATTTTATACTGAATTTACGCCCGGGCCATAAGTTTTTGTTTCTTCAGTTTCTTCTGGGATATCTTTTTCTTCTGTGCAACCTCCTCTTCTGGTTTAGGAACAGTCTGCTCTTTCTCAGTGAGGATTATCTCAACATGGCAGGGAGAGCTCATATATGGGTTAACCCGCCCATGAGCTCTATAAGTTCTACAGCACATCTTGGGAGCTTTGTTTACCTGGATGTGCTCCATGACCAGAGAATCTACATCTAAACCCTTAAGTTCAGCTTTGCTCTCTGCATTTTTAAGCATGTGCAGTAAAAATTCAGCACTCTTTTTGGGCCACCGACCCTGTGTCAAGCCCCACTGTTTCACCTGGGCACACCTACCAACTCCACCATTGTAACAACGAAAAGGCACACATCTGTAAAGTGACATCCTTCAGATACTTGGTGGCTTTTCAAATATGCATACCTTCGATGGCCTGGGCAGTTTCCCGAGTGTTCTTAAAGTGAACACGAAGATTTGAACCTCTTGACTTGCATGATTTTGTGGGGTTTTCTGGGTCAAGTGAACAGCGAACCATTTTCAGAGGTCACCTCGCCGCTTTCGGAAAAGAAACAATAGAAACTTTTTTTGAAGGGCTTTTGGCACACTATTGCTAATGTGAGGTGGGCTTTCACTCCATCCTTGGTTCCCCTATTGTGATCTGACTGACCTCTCTGTGCCCTGGTGTGATGATCTGTTTCCGTGTTTGTCTCCTTTACTAGATCATGAGGGTCTCCAAATACCATCTTTTGTTTTGTCCGACCTGCTCCTTGCCTCATAGGCTTGACATTGAGTAGGCACGCAGTGAGTGTCCTGCAGGAAAGACTAAGTGAATGAATACATGAGTTACTACTTCCCTAGGTAGTGAGAGCCTGGAAGACTGCCTGTGTGCTCTCCTCAGATGCCTGCTAGGGGAGGTGGCCCCAGTTCACCTTTGCTCCTGAGCACCTATGACAGATGGTTTCTGGAGATACCACCAGGTGCAGCCTTAGGCTCTTGGGTCTTGGAATTGATATTTTTTCCTAGAATTTTTTTTCTTGGGCCTGCTTATCAATGCACCACTCTCTTCTTTGGCTCCAGCCTGTTGGAGGAGTAACTTTCTGCTTGTTTGTTTGTATTTATTTATTTATTTATTTATTTATTTATTCTTTTTATTTTTTAAAACATATTTATTGAATTTTAGAGAGAGAGAGAGAAATGTGGATTTGTTGTTCCACTTATCCATGCACTCATTGGTTGCTTTCTTGTATGTGCCCTGAACAGGAATTGAACCCAAAACCTTGGCACAGCAGAACAATGCTCAAACCAACTGAGCTACCCGGCCAAGGCTTATTTATTCATTTTAAATTGAGATATAATTGACATGTAACATTTACATAAGTTTCAGATCTCCAGTGTAAAGATTCATTATATATACATACTGTGATTTAAAAAAAAATTAACTACAAAACGTATTCATTCATTCAACAAGTATTTATGGGACACCTACTGTGTGCCAGGCACTATTCCACTGAAGCCCAGCAATTCACAGGACAGACATGGCCCTTCTTGGAGTTCACATTCCATAGAGGGGAGACAGGAAAAATAAGTAAGACAAAATCCATTAGTGCTGTGTAGAGAGTTAGAGTGGAAGCAGCATGGCAGAAGATCGCTGGGTGGCTGGCTTAGGTTGGTTAGGAAAGGTCCCTCTGGTGTTCAGATCTGAATGATGAAGATGGGGGGCCGGTGTGGGTGGAGGACTACCCCAGGTAAAGGGGACATACAGTGCAGAGCACCTAAGGGGCATAGACGTGGCATGTCTGAGGAGCTGAACAGTGGCCATGGTGGCTGGTGGGGGTCCATGCAGTGGAGGTGAAAGAGTAGACTAGGGTGGGTTTGGAGAGAGAGTCAGGAGCAGACAAGGAAGTAGGTTTTATTCTTTGCCTGGTGTGAAGCTCAGGGAGGGTCTTAAGCAGGGTAGTGACAAACCCTGCCTCAGCGTTTTAAAAGCTCACTTTGGCTGCTGTGTGGAGAGTGGATTGTAAGGATGTGAGTGCAGAGATGGGGATAGCTAGGAGGTTGTCAAGGTGGGTCAGGTGAGAGAGGATGGGAGCTTGGATTAGGATGGTAGTCATGGAGATGGAGAGAAAATAGGTAACTTGGAGATATGTTTTGTTTTTTATATTTTCATTGATTCTAGAGAGAGGAAGGTGGGAAGAGAGAGACATCATCGATTACCTCTTCCTGTACATGCCCCAACTGGGGATTGAACCTGCAACCTGGGTATGTGCCCTGTTTGGGAATCGAACCCGCAATCCTTTGGTGCACAGGACGACACTCTCACCACTGAGCCACATTGGCCAAGGCTGGAGATATGCTTTGAATAGGTAACTGGACAGGTGTTTTAGAGCAATGGTTTTCAAACCTCAAACCTCAATCCTCAGAGTGCACAGTCACCTGGAGGACATATTAAAACAGGTGGCTGAGCCCCACTCTATCTGTGGGTATTGGGATGGAGGGAATGAGAATTTACATTTCTTTTTTTTATCCTCACCCGAGGACATTTTTTGCATTTATCTTCAGATAGAGTGGAAGGGAGAGAGGAAGAGAGAGAGAAGCATCAATCTGAGAGAGACACATCGAGTGGTTGCCACCCACACAACCCCAACCGGTGCTGGGGACAAACTGCAACCGAGGTACGTGCCCTTAGTGGGAACCGAACCTGGGACTCTGCTCCACAGGCCAAGCTCTAACTGCTGAGCCAAACCAGCCAGGGTGAGAACTTACATTTCTTACATGTTCCAGTGATGCTGCTGGTCTGAGGAGCACACTCTGAGAACCATTGTTTTAGAGAAAGAGTGAAGAGAACTCTGTGAAGGATTGGGTGTGATTATGAGGAAAAGAGAGGAGTCAGTTCACATCCATAGTGGTGGGGCCTAACCAACTAGGTGAAGAGAGATGCCCGATCCTGGGGGGAAGCAGGAGAAAGTGCTAGAATCAAGAGCTCTTTTTTGAAAAAGTTCAGTTGAAGATGTCTTTTGGACATTCATATAGGTATAGGAAGTGGGCAGCTGGATATAAACCCTGAAGTTGAGGAGGAGGTCAGATCTGGAGCTACCAATTTGACAGTTGTTGGCTTATGGATGGTCTTTAGTGCTGTGAGACTTGGGGAGGTCAGCTGGGGAGAGGGCGTAGCCAAAGAAAGGAGAGGGCTGAGGACAGAGCCCTGGGGCTCACCAGCTTTTATAGAGAACCCTGAGAAGGATGGTCAGTGGGAGGAGGGAATACACAGGAGAGTGTGGTGTCCTCAGACCAGTGTTTTGGATGGAAGGAGTGGTACTGAGAGGTCAGATAAGAAGTTAAGGATCTAATGGTCAAGAGAAGTGGCCGTTGGATTTGTCAGCATGGTGATCCGTGGTGATTTGTGATTGGACCTGAAGATGGAAGTGACAGGATGGCATGGGTTTTGATGGGAGGGGGGCTGTGATCAGGCTGGTGGATCAGGGAATAATGAAGGGATGAGGATCAAATGTCACTGGGTGGCCTCTAGTAATGACCGAGGTAAAGCAGGGGTGAGGCAGTTCCCCACTCTGCTTCGTGTGTAATCAGACCTAATCAGACCGGTCTGGCTGGTTTGGGACCACTTGGCCGTTCTTTGTTTGTCTCTGTGGTGAAGTGGCTGTGGGGTGAGAAGAGGCCCCGCAGGGAACTATTTTTATAGGAGGCACAGAGCCCTGAGGGTGTTTTGGTGGCTGGGGAAGAAGTATGAAAAGGCTTAGCAGTGGTGAATAAAAACAACCCTTCAGACACACACATGTACAAAAGCACAAGTATGTATGTATGGTTTTGTTTTTTTTTTTTTATCCTCACCCGAGGACATTTTTCCATTTTTTGTTCAGATAGAGTGGGAGGGAGAGAGAGGAACAGAGAGAGAGAGAAACATCGATGTGAAAGGAATACATCGAGTGGCTGCCACCCACATGACCGATCAGGGCTGGGGACAAACTGCAACCGAGGTACGTGCCCTTAGCGGGAACCGAATCCGGGTCTCTCCGGACCGCAGGCCGACGCTCTAACCACTGAGCAAACCGGCCAGGGCTGTCTTTTTTTTTTTTAATCCTCACTTGAGGACACTTTTCCATTGATTTTCAGATAGAGTGGTAGGGAGGGAGAAAGAGAGAAATATCGATGCGAGAGAGACACACTGATTGGCTGCCTCCTGCATGACCCCAACCAGGGCCAGGGATCAAACTGCACCTGAGATATGTGCCCTTGACCGGAATATAACCTGTGACCCTTTAGTCCTTAGGCTGACGCTCTAACCACTGAGTCAAACCAGCCAGGGCTGTATGTCCTTTTATAAAAAATAGAAATGGCCCTGGCCGGTTTGGCTCAGCAGTTACAGCGTTGGCCTGTGGACCAGAGAGTCCCAGGTTTGGTTCCCGCTGAGGGCACGTACCTTGGTTGCAGTTTGTCCCCAGCCCTTGTTGGGTCATGTGGGTGACAACCACTTGATGTGTCTCTCTCACATCAGTCTCTCTCTCTCTCTCTTTCTCCCTCTCTCCCTCCTGTTCTTTCTGAAGATAAATGCAAAAATGTCCTCGGGTGAGGATTAAGAAAAAAAAAATAGATACTATACTACACAAATTGTTTGACGCTTGGCTTTTTCACTTAACTTTGTAACCTTAGAGATTGTTCCATTAGTATTTGTAAGTAGTACTGCCTCATTCTTTTTAAAAGTTGCAGAGTATTCTATTTTATGAGTGTCCATAAATGTTTTAACTAGTCTTCCTGTTGATGGACATTTTCAATTTTTCCGATTTTTAGCCTTTACAAACAGTGCTATAATATCTATGTACATATGGCATTGGATACATATGGAATTTTTATTGTAGGATACATTTCTAGAAGTGGAGTTGCTGTGTTAAAGGATATGCTTATTTAAGATTTTGATGTCATCAATTCATATTCCCACAACTGGTCTGTGAGAGTACATGTTTCTCTGAATGCTCCTCAGTGCTGTGTTAAACAGCTTTTAAAAAAATCCTCACCCGAGGATATTTTTCTATTTATCTTCAGATAGAGTGGGAGGGAGGGAGAGAGAGAGAAACATTAACGTGAGTTGACCAGTTGCCTTCTGGATGAACCACAACCAAGGTATGTGCCCTTGACTGGAATTGAACCTGTGACCAATTGGTCTGCAGCCAATGTTCTAACCACTGAGAAAAACAGCCAGGGCTTAAACACCTTTTTGATCTTTGCCCACCTGACAATGTCTTGTTGCAGTTCATGAGTATAAACATTATTCACAAGTTAAAGAGCTGTTTGCTTTTTTCTTAATTTTTATTTATTGCTTTTTATTTCATTTTTTAAATTCTTACCTGAAGATATTTTTTGATCTATCTTTAGGTAGAATGGGAGGGAGGGAGAGAGAAAGAGAGGGAGAGAGAGAGAAACATTGACATGAGGGGGAACACATCTACTGGTTGCCTCCCGCCCGACCCCAAGAAAAACCGCAACTGAGGTATGTGCCCTTGACCAGAATCGAACCTGCAACTCATTGGTCCACGGGTCGAGGCTCTATCCGCTGAGTCAAACCAGCCAGGGCTATTTATTGCTTTTTAGATGGAGAGGAGGGGAAGGTGGGGAGAAACATTGATTTGTTGTTCCACGTATTCTTGCATTCATTGGTTGATTCTTGTAGATGTCCTGACCAGGGATTGCATTTCTGGCTGACACCCTAACCAGCTGAGCTACCCCTCCAAGCCTGTCTTGTCTTTTCACTGTTTGTTCATGTCTTTTGCCCATTTCACATTTGTTGTTATCCTTTTAGGAAATTAGCCCTTTGTCTATGATGTCCGGCAAACATTCTTGTCTTGGTTTGTCTTTTGTTGATAAATTCAAATACAGTCAGCTGTTTTCTTAAGACCTTTAGCAGTGCTGCTTGGGGACATGGAGAGCCAGTCCCTGGTGCGAGCTTCCCATTCCGGCCCTGGGAAGCAGGCACTTTCCCTCCCTGACGTTGACGGGCATGCTTCTTGCTGTGAATCAGGGAAAGCATGAGGCTGAATTGCTCTGTGTGCAGTTGAACTAAGAAGGCATGAGCTATGACTTCTCTAGGGCCGGGACCCATCTACACTGACGAGTCTCCTGGCTGTGTAGATGTTCCCTGTCCTAGGGAAGCCTCTAGTCTCTGGGAGATTGGATATGTCCCTGAGAGCCCTGCAGAAGGGCTTCTCAACCCATTATGCATTTTAAAGATATATTTTTTTAAATGAGAAAAAAAAATCTCTTTGTAAACAAGAATACCTATTGTCTGTGTTCCCTTAGGGAGCAGAGAGCATAACCACATACACGTTCAACACTCACCAAGCGCAGCATACCTTCTGTAAGAGATGTGGCGTGCAGAGCTTTTACACCCCTCGCTCAAACCCTGGAGGCTTCGGTGAGTAAAGGAAGTGGCCACAAGCTCAGGAAGGACACAGGTTCACCTGCTCTGGGTATACATACTGGTTAGAAAGGTGGGCACTGGCAGGCTTGGCTTGCCTTCAGCTTGGCAAGACTCTTCCTCATGTATGTTTCCGCTGAACAAATGATGGGATGTGACACTGGCTTTGGTCATTCAGATACCAGTTACTGATGCTGTCAGAGCTGCGTCACTGGGTCTGACAGTGAGGGTAGAGAAGAGGGGAGAGGAGATGGGCCTGTGGGCAGGGGGAGGGAATTTTAACAATGGTGGATAATGGTGGATAAAGGGATAAAGGAGGCAGGCATGAAGAGCATTGATAATGCCATTAAATTTTTTTGGTTCAAAACAGAAACAGAACACCCTAAGTGTCTCTTCAGGTCCTACTTGAATCTGGAGGAAAAACAACTTTTAGACAGTTGTGTGTGAACTGAGTGGAAAGTAGCCTTGAGGATGTTCCTGAGGAATCTTGTTCCCTGCAGAGCTGGGTGGCATGGCTGTGGCTGTGACCATCCTGGGCCTTAATGTCGGGGGACGGCCTGGCATCACCCTTGCCCTTCCTGCCCCATTTGTCATAGCAGCTCATGTTTGTACTTCTGTGCCACATGGAGACTCCCTTTTGCCAACCTCGAGCACAAGAAAGTGTGAACTGCTATAGAGATGGGTGGTATTTAATGCTTAGAAAGTTACCTATCTAAGCCCTGGAAAAAGCCTGCGAATTCTTCACACTATCAGTCGAGTGCTTTAGCCTGAGTCTTTCTGCTGTTTTGTACTCCCCTCTTGGTCCTGGTCATCCTGGCTCAGGAAGGCTGATCCCCATCTGAGAGATGCGGAAAGTAAGCCCAGAGGCTGACATTGTGAGCTATGGTGTCTCACTTGGAAAGCCTCATATGTCGTATCATGATGCTTGCAGGTGTGGGTTTGTCCAAGAGCCAGTATAGCACCTGGTCTCACTCATACTGGGGACCTCCCTTTCTCTGTGTCACTTCCCTCTAGGAATCGCCCCACACTGTCTGGATGAGGGCACTGTGCGGAGTGTGGTCATTGAGGAATTCAATGGCAGCGATTGGGAGAAGGCCATGAAGGAGCACAAGACCATCAAGAACATGTCTAAAGAGTGAGCTCTTGCTTTCTCGCGTCCTGAGGAGTGATTGGGACCAGTAGCCTTGCTGTCTCCTCTGCACCTCGGTGGTGCCGTGAAGGTGGCTGACCCAGGCTGCTGGTGCCCTTGGCCAGTGGCCCTCTCGGTCTCTGCACTTTGCTCCATCTACCAGTTTCCTTAGACAGCTCTTTGTCCTTTGTCAGCTCACACTTGGATGTAGGCTAGTTAGCATCCTCTTTCTCTTCCTAATTTTGTGTGATCTTTTAGAAAAATAAATATTTTAATATTAAAGCAGTTACTATGATTTGTCATTTTCTTTGCACTTTGATTTTGCTTCTGAGGCCAGTCAATTAATAGCAGACATTTATTGAGCACTGTTAAGATGCTTCAACCAAACTGGGACGGGGAGCTAAGGCAGGTGAACGGTAGCCACGGGAGCTGTAAAGATGACGTGAGCTCTAGGGATTCAGAGGAGTGAGAAGGCTGGTCATAGAGGACTTGGGGGGTGGGGAGGGTACAGTTTCAGTCTTAAGGTAAATCAGTGTCTAATTTTTTTAAAAGTTGTGAACTATACATAACAAAATTTACCATGTTAACCATTTTTAAGTGTACAATTCAGTGTTTGTTACATTCACGTTACGTAGGCAATTTCCAGAACTCGCTGTCTTGCAAAACTTAAACAACTTAGAGTCTATATTTTTAAAGGAAGCAAGATTTAGAAAGTTGGAAAGGAGAAGTAGCTGTGAACAGGTATGGCCACATGTTAATACCAGGCTGAATTAGATACTTGTGATGGGAAGAAGTGATACAAGAGACCAGAAAAATAAGTTGAAGCCAGACTGTGGACTGCCTTGGATATTAGGCTCAGGAATCTGGCCTTTATTTTACAGGTTTTGGGAATCCCTGAACAGCTCTGAACAGCATAAAGAAAGCCTGGCCCATTATGCAGTGTTTTGAGTAGTCCCCCTGCCCCACTTGCTTCACATTGCTTTCTGCATATTACAATCAGATGAACTTTCCTAAAGCATTGCTTTCATTACCAAATACTGAAATATACACATTGGCAAATGCTTAGTTATAAATACTGCTCTTTGCTTTAGGAAAATCAATTGAAATGCGTTTGAGGTAAACTAGATAAAGAAAAAAAGAGGGAAAAGCCTTATCCATGATTTGGCTTTCTGTGCATTCAGTTACCCATGGTCAACCACAGTCCAAAAATATTACATGGAAAATTCCACCTCACTTCCTCTCATCGTGTTGGCACTGTACCATCTCATATTACGAGAAGAAGAGTGTGTACAGTGCCATACAGTATTTTTAGAAAGAGATACATTTATATAAATTTTATTATAGTATACTGTTATAATTTTGTTTTATTATTAATCTCTTACTGTGCCTAATTTATAAATTAAACTTTATCAGGTTGTGTATATACAGGAAAAGGTTTGGTACTGTTTGCAGTTTCAGGCATCCACTGGGGTCTGGAATCATCTCCCCTGCAGATAAGGGGGGACAACTGTACACATGGACTGGTGTGTGTGGTCACCACCTCTTCCAAGTCCTTGACAGCCTACTGACAGCCAGGTTCAGACTAAGGTGAAAGGAGTTGGTAAATTATATAGGTAAAACACAAATATGTCCCTTGGGTATACCTACCTTACCAATTGCAATATTATGTGAAAATACATAGTTTTATGTATCTTTTAAAAACAAATGACATTTTCAGTCACGATGGTGGCGTAGGTAAACGCAGTATCTGTCCTCCCACAACCACATCAAAGTTACAACTAATCTACAGAACAACCATCATTCAAAACCGCCTGAAATCAAGCTGAATGGCAGTCCTACAACTATGGAATTAAAGCAACAGCCACATAGAGACTGGTAGGAGGGGCGGAGGCATGGATGGGCTGGTCTCACACCCACATGTGGCGTATAAAAATCAGGGGGACACCTCGGATGGGAAGGTCCTCCCTGAGGACTGAGGGGTCCCCATCCCACACCAGACGCCCTGCTTAGGGTTCCAGTGCCAGGAAGAGAAGTCCCCATAACTTCTGGCTGGAAAAACCAGAGGGAACTGAGGCTCAGGGAAGCTGAGGCAGCTGGAGCCCCAGGCAGCTCCTTAAAGGGCCGGCGCACGGACTTATCGGACTCTCTCCCTCTAAGCTCTGAGGGGAGGCAGTTTGAGGGGCACCAGAGTCATACAGGGAAGAACTGAGCTGTTTGGCACTGGAGCAAAGGCTGGAGAGGGGGCTTTCTCCGGTACAAACGTGCTGTCAGAGGCCTTTTTTCCTTTGGTAAGCCCTTCCCTGGGGTAGCAGACAGCCACCATATCTGGGACTCCAGCAACCTGGCTCACACTGGTAGCCCCACCCTGGTGATTCCCTGAGGCTCCACCCCACCCAACTTTCAGGCCCACCCAAGCTGTTGCCAGTTGCTTCACCATAGGATTGGCCTGTCTTGGATCCTGCTTCAGGTTTTTCCTAAATTCTTCAAACAAGCAGCATCTGGTCTCAGCCCCATACCTCTCGTTAAGTAATACACAGAAACAAACACAGGGAGGCAGCCAAAATGAGGAGACAAAGAAACAGGTCCCAAATGAAAGAACAGAACAAAACCCCAAGAAAAGAACTAAACGAAATGGAGATAAGCAACCTAACAGATGCTGAGTTCAAAATACTGCTTATAAGGATGCTCAATGAACTTAGTGAGAACCTCAGTGAACTTAGTGAGGGCCTCAAGAGCATAAAAAAGGACCAGTCAGAAATCATGGATGCACAGTCAGAAATGAAGGAGGCATTAACTGAAATAAAGAATAATTTACACAGATTCAATAGTAGAGTACGTAAATCCAAGAAACAAACCATCGATTTGGGATATGAGGAAGCAAAAAACGCCCAATCAGAACAGCAAAAAGAAAAAAGAATCCAAAAAAATGAGGATAGTGTAAGGAGCCTCTGGGACAACTTGAAGCATGCCAACATTCGCATCTTGGGGGTTCCAGATGGAGAAGAGAGAGAACAAGAAATTGAAAACCTGTTTGAAACAATAATGGCAGAAAACTTTCCTAACTTGGTGAAGGAAACAGACATACAAGTCCAGGAAGCACAGACAGTCCCAAACAAGAAGAACCCCAAGAGGCCCACACCAAGACACATCATCATCAAAATGCAAAAGGTCAAGACAAAAAGAGAAACTTAAAAGCAGCAACAGAAAAGCAGTTAGTTACCTACAAGGGAGTTCCCATAAGGCTGATTTCTCAAAAGAAACTTTGCAGGCCAGAAGGGAGTGGCAAGAAATATTCAGAGTGATGAAAAGCAAGAACCTACAACCAAGATTGCTCTATCCTGCAAAGCTGTCATTTAGAATTGATGGCCATATTAAGAGTTTCCCAGACAAGGGAAAGTTAAAGGAATTCGTCACCACCAAACTGTTATTATATGAAATGATGAAGGGTCTTTTTGAAGAAAAAGATAAAATATATGAACAAAATGGCAATGAATACATATCTATCGACAATGGAATCTACAAACAAAATGAACAGGAAGAACAGAAACATTCTCATAGAGAACATTTTGTTGGTTGCCAGTTGGGAAGAGGGTTGGGGGAATGGGTGAAAAAGGTGAAGGGATTAAGAAGCACAAATTCATTGCTAGACTGACAAACCTCAAAGGGAAAGGGGTTGGGGGGTGGGAAGAAATAAACCAAAGAACTTATATGCATAACCAATGGACACAGACAATAGTGTGGGAAAAGGTGGGAGGGGGGTGGGAGTGGGGAGGAGGGAGTCAATGGGTTAAAAATGAGGAACATCTGTAATACATTCAACAATAAAGATTTTAAAACAAACAAACCAAAAAACACCCAAAACAAATGACATCATATTATACCTTTGTTCTGCAGCTTGCATTTTTGTTTAAAAACATCTTGTTTTTTTTTGTCCCTGCCGGTATTGCTCAATGGTTCGAACTTTACCCTGTGGACCAAAGGGTTTGGGGTTCAATTTCCAGGCAAGGGGGTGTACCTGTATTGCAGATTTGATCCCCAGCCTTGGATGTTTCTCTCTCTTTCCTTCCCTCCCTCCTTTCCATTCTCTAAAAATCAATGGAAAAAATACTCAGGTGAGGATTAAAAAACAAAACAAAACAAAAAATCTTGATGTTTTCATATCAATATACATATTGTCATTATTAGCTGTTACTTCCAATTGCTTAGTATGGGTATAATTTATTTAACTATTCTTTTTTTCATGGAAATTGGTGTTTCCAGTGTTTGCTTTACATGAATGTTAACAGTGAATATCTTTTACATGTCTTTTTTTTTAAAAAAAACTTAAGAGTTGTTTATTTCTGGAACTTTCTTTTTCTAAAATATATTTTTCTTAATTGATTTGAGAGAGAGAGGAAGGGAGAGAAAGAGGGCACATGTGTCCTGATGGGGAATTGAACTGCTGACCTCTTGGTACATGGGTCGACGCTCAACCACTGAACCACACTGGCCGGACACTTGTCTTTTTATACATGTGTATTTGAGGATATAACAATGGAATTACTGGGTTGAAGATATGCATATTTTAATTATTAAAAATACTGCTAAGTTGCCCTCAAAATGTATATCAGCCTTTAAAATATCCATCAACCCTGTGTATAGTAGAGTGCCCTCACCAACACTTGATGTTATTAATCTTTTTAATTGTGACCAATTTGTTGAGCAAACTCTTTCATTTTTTGTTTCCGTTTTCCTGATTACCTTTGAGATTAAGCATCTTTTTATGTTTCTTGGCCATTTTTATTTTCTCTCCTGTCAATTGCTTGATCATGTCCTTTGCCAGTTTTTCTTTGGGGCTGTTTTTTCATCTGTCAGTTAAAAGAATATTAGCTTTAAAAAGAAGTGTTTCAGATACTATTTTAAAAAATTAATTTTTGGGCCCTGGTAAGGTAGCTCAATTGGCTAGAGCATTGTCCAGATGCGCCAAGGTTGCAAGTTTGATCTCTAGTCAGAGCACATACAAGAAGCAACCAATGAATGCATGAATAAGTGGAACAACAGATCAATGTTTCTCCATCTCTCGCCCTAAAATCAGTAAGTAAAAATATAATTAAAGAAATTAATTCTCAGGCCCTGGCCAGTTTGGCTCAGCTGTTAGGGCATTGGCCCATGGACTAAAGAGTCGTGGGTTCAATTCCAGTCAAGGGCACGTACCTCAGTTGCTGTCCGGTCCCTGGCCCTGGTCGGGGTTATGTGGGAGGCAACCGATTGATGTGTCTCTCTCATGTAGATGTCTCTCTTTCTCT